CATACATCTTATCGCCGTCGCGCCATAAAAAAATCAATGTCGTATTTTTGCATGGTCATAGCACGTACATCAAATTTTATTTTTCTCGCAATATTACTTGTGGAAATATGCTTCAGGCAACTAAATCCATCTTCACTATCATTATGTTTTCCAATTAAACGGGAGTGACGACCGATTTGCGCGACTCCCTGACGAGCGCGTGCGGCGTGCTGCATGCAGCATTGCACTTGCTTGACGTTGATTTGTTTATGCAGGTGCTCGAAGAGTCGGACACGTCATCGGAGATAAGCTGCAGGAAGGACGCTCTTAATCTCGAAAACGGCGATTTCAAGACCTCCATCGAAAAGGCGATCACGAAGCTACCGAGGATACAACACTTGGTAAGAAATTAATTTTCCATAAATATCTATTGTACAAATTATTAACATCCACTGTGACTGTGTCATTTAATAATTTTTCCAAGTATTTAGATATAGCTTAGGTATTATATAACAAATAAATTGTTGCACCATATTATTCGCGTAGGAAAATTACGAGAATACGTCAATGGAAAATCTCGGAAGTTCATTTTCTAGCGTAGAGGAAATGTTACGTCAGCAATAGACACGAGCCTAATGAATTCTAATAACGCGTCGGACGTTCACTTCCCTATATATCAATTAGCTACTATTCTTGGACAAACTGCAACTTAACACTTTCGTCTCGTTTCTTTGCGCAGTGTCACGAAGCTGAGAAGCCGCCGCCTCCGCCGTCCCAGGAATCCAGATGGGAGTTTCCTAGAGATAAGCTTAGATTACAGACAGTCCTTGGGCAAGGAAACTTCGGCCAGGTGAGGAGGCATTATTTTCTGCGGCATTCTTCTAAAAAAATAAGTCTGTAATTTGCGACTGTCGGACGGGATTTCATAAGATACCTGAAATTCACGCGGAAATATAATCTTCGCGACGAATTCAGCGGCTTCTCCTCTCAGTTTTTATGCTGAAGTGATTTTGCTTGCAAAATTCCATGCGCATTCATGTCTAATAGCGGCTTACGCTATGTGCGATTCAACCGTTATATTCATAAGACACGATAATGGGTAGTTAGTATAATGTTGCTATAATCGAATTGATTATGTAAAATAGATTGTGGGAAAACTTGGGGAACGTATAATCTATCTATCGCGATATTCTTTTCTAATAAATCAATGATAGAAACGAATAGTTGGTGCAATCTCTTCTCATCGCGGAATGATTGTGTATTACGGCGATAAGTATCGCTAATAATACAAAATAAACGCAAGAATTATATATTGATTTTTTAAAATGATAAATTGATACCATTTATAGATGATTAGTATTATTTAAATTTATTGCGTTCAAGATAAAAATTTTAAACGTTTTTTTAAAATTAGATCAGAAATATAAGTTAAAATTTGAAGAGGACTAAAGTCTATCTTAAATATTAGTAAACATTTAAAATGAGATTGTGAATTATTAGGTGTGGAAGGCCGAAGCTGACGACTTGACAGGTCATCAAGGCACGACTCGGTTAGTAGCAGTGAAAACGGTCAAGGAAGGCGCTTCCGATCGAGAAAAAGAAGACTTGGATCGAGAGCTCGAAATCATGAAGCAATTGGGCAGTCATCCGAACGTCGTGACACTTTTGGGCTGCTGCACCGAAGAAGGTAAGTTTCAGACAACATTTATTTGTAACATAAACTTTAAACGATATAAAAGATAAAAATTTTTATAAATTAATATTCAAGAAATAAAAAATACAATATAATTGCTCAATCAATTTAATTTAGTAGCCTATTTAATTTTATCTCAATTAGCTTTTACAAATTCGTTTAGCTTTATTTGTAGTTAATCCGAAATGAGAATAAAAGCAACGACTGACAATCTAATAGCAACTTTTTTTTCAAGTATTATTATTCGAAACGTGATATCCATCATTACACCGACATTTTTCAATTAAAGTAAAATTACTTTGTAACGTTACAAAGTATTGCTTCCACCTCGATTGCCATTGCACGAAGCGCATTCGTCCGTACGGGATATAATTAACCGAGAACAGAGATATACCATATGGCATCGACATGTACCGACACGTACCGGCGCGACACGCACATCGTGCAATTTCCCGCGGAAACGCATCCGCGCGCGTTCTCCACCTCGATTTGCATCGAGGAGGTAATCGGCGCTGCACCTGCAGCCGCAAATCGCAACTGTACTCGATGAATCTTTCTCATTACCGTCACTTATCTTCGACCTTGCGTGTTGCCACTCGCGCTTGAGCCTTGACAGCATAAACTTTATAAAAACTAATGGCGTTTTAACTGCCGACACTTCGACTCGTAGAATGCGCGGATCGCTGGTATATGGTAATTAAGTAATCAAGTCCTGCACACCGGAGAGAGGGAGAGATAGAACCGCGGTCGGACGTGACTTCTTTAATCGGCACGCCGTCGCCGCCGCCGCCGCGATGCGTTCACGATGCTGGTCATTCTTGCAATTCAATCGAAATTCATGTGATGAACGGCGAATTAGGGATCTAGTGAATTATTTAAGTTTTTGCAAACGGCACGTTTCGATATAATTAAATAATCTGAAATAAAACAATCTCGATCACGTTTGCGTCTGATTTAATCAATTGCAATTTTTTAGACAGGCCGAAGACGTGCTATAAACGTCACGAAAAAAATTTATCGTTTCTTTAAACTGCATGTTTACGTCGAAAATTCACAATTTGCATGTATGAGATGCGTTTTCTTGTTGTTGAATGATTCGTATATGTTTAAACCACTGCGTAAGAAGATAGTTCCATGAAAACGGTCCGTTTTTGAAAACGTTTGTCTTATAATTGTGTTCACTGAAACGATAAATGAGATGGTAATTGTGATAATTACGTGTGAATTGCTTTGTTTTGCACAGAAAGATTTATTTGTATTATCTATGTACAACGTAATAGATAACTACAGTTAACTTCATAACTCTTGTCGGCTGCAAATTAAATCCGTGTAATCAATCTACCAATGTTTTTCTCGTACTGGCACTTCGGCATTAGGTTTTATGGACACAAGTGCGACATGTGAATAAACAAATTATTAACAGTTTTCAATCAGAATCAATTTTCTTATTGACACGACGCAGTCGTTTTTCCTCGCAAATCTCGTAAGATTGCTTAGAAATATCGATGATCGCATTAATTTGCAAACAAAAAGATTGATGTATATTTCTCGGTAATTTCATCATGATTGATTAAAAGGCGCAACATCCTGCTTCCATAAAGCCCGACCGAATAATCGAAGGTTTTTGATGTGCCGGGATTTTATTATCGAAAGCAAGTGCGCAACGAATTGGTAAATAATTTTCATGCGAATAACTGCATCGGTAAATTACTCTTTCTGAAGATTGATCTTACGAAAAATTGCGAGAAATTAATTTCGCTTCCCGCACGTTCGAGCATGTTAAAAAAAGTATATAAGAAGCATATACAGAATTCTGAGCAAGAAATACTGAAATTATTTTTAAGCAACGTTAAAATTTACCGAAAGTTATCATCATGCTTAATCTCTTATTTTTATTTAGAAAATTATTTAAATATATGTATATTACTTTTATGATATTTAGAAATTTAAATTTTAATAATATAGATAATTAATTTAAAACATTTTTTTTTGCAGTAGTTTCTTAATTCTTATTAATTTTTTTAATAGAAAATTGATGAATAAAAGATGTGGCGCGTAGATTAGCGCGCAAATTTCTCGTGGCAGACAAATTTGTGGTAGAGACATCAAAAGTTCGCTCGGGCGATCTCACACGTGTCGGGATGGACCGTGAAGGAGTACAGACCATTACTCGATATCGTCGTTCTCATCGTTCGTATAAATTTCCATACGCATCTCCGCGACGCGTTTCTTCACGGCACAATACGTCTATTAAGTCATCGGTATTCTCGTGAGACGATTATTCCGTTCGCGGAACAAAGAAAGCTAAATTAAAAAGCGAGCAACGTGGTGATTCAGTCGCGTGATCAATTTACTTAAGTGCGACAATTCAATAGCATTATTATTCATCTGTTTCGATAAATGAAGTTAAGTCGCTATTATGATTTGCGTGTACTAATTAAAATGCGCCGAGATTGAGAAAGTTAAGCCGATTATAGCGATTTTAATAGAACTATGTGTAATTTCTTTTTTAACAAGTTTCTCTAACTTACACGTGCATTTTTGCATTTTAGAAATCTTTCTTCAACAAAGTAAATAAAGTAATAAAACTTCTCAATAAAATCTGAAAGAACTAAAAGAACATTGATGACCAAGTAGGATATCAGTTTCGTGTGTGTTTAAGTATTTTCCTTCATTAAAAACAAACGTGAATGCGTGCGTAAGAGCTAGTCGTCGACGCTTATTCGCCGAAATCTCGCTCATTTGCGAGACAATCTGCCGAGAGAGAGAGAGATAAACCTAGCGAGGAAAAAAATTCTCTCGATGGATCCTCAAACATCATTCCTCGATGATAAAACTGCGGTCATCGTGACCGCAGTAAAGGTCGAGATGGTGGCGGCGTAGAAAATCGAGATCTTCAGAGGTGTGTCTGCAACTTTCAGACGTCGCTGACGCACCTCCTCGGGGAGCGGGCTTTAAAGGGTCCTCTCCGCAACACACAATAGAACGCGAAAAGTTCTTCTCTGGCGACCCACACGACGGACCACCGCATGAGATTTACGACATTTAAATTTCGGCTCGCCTGTGTTTGCGGCCACGTCCAAATTTCTTTCCGTCCGTCACAGGAAAGTCTTTTAACTGTTTTTACGATCACCGTTCGAACCGTTCGGAGAATAAAACTCGCGTTGAGCAAGTCGCTTTGATCGCTAAGAAAATTATTAGCAGTCGAAGAACCGAGTGACCCATGTTACAAATTCAACGAATTTTTATATTTTAACTTCTTTTAAAAATTTAATATTTTATTAAGAATCGATTTTTTTTTCCGGAAAAATATAATTCAGCTAATAATATTTTTAAGGTGATAAACACATTCATTACTCGATGAAGATGTGATTACAATTGCGTTGCCAAATTTTTTATCGTTGAAAGATTCGCTCTCCGTTCGATAAATCGCGCGGCAGAAAGAGAGTTCTTTTATTTGGCCACTCTCCGTTTCTTCTCTTTGTCCCTAATCGAGTTTCGGCTTATTTATCTGCCTTCACGAACGCGGCGACGTGTATGAAATAGGAGCGACATTAAGAAGCGGCATTCTTTAAAATCGAGCCCAGAAACGCGGCGTCTTCTCTTTTGGCACGAGTTTTTCATGCAGATAATACTCTGGAAGCTTAAGAGAGACGACGGCACGATTTTGTACGCGTTCCGCTTTACGATGGTACTTCGCGCCTCGTTTAACGGGTTCTTATCTGGCGAAGTGTTTTAGAATTCGATAGAATTAATCGCTCTCGTCGCTACACCACTTTACGAGTTAGAAATCATTAAGTTGTATAAAAATTTCCAATGCCATTGCGTTCCCAATTTTGTTTACAACTCGCCGTCCCGAGATTATTTACATACGACAGAAGATTAAAAAAATTCTAATCCGAAAGGACATCTCGTGTTCTAACATGTTTCTAACACGTCGGAGAACATACACACTTTTGTTATTTTCTCGCTTTTATCGCTGCGCGAACACGTTTCTACATTATTACATATGCGAAATATGACTTATGTAAAAACGAAACGTGAACGCAGTTGTACAGTTTTGCATTCATCACAGTTATTATATCGCGCGCGTGCCATATCGATCGGCAGAGGCGCAGATCCGTGACTCGAAGAGTGACGTGAAGAGCTTAAAACATTTTTTTATAATAATTAACTTTTATAATGTCAGTTGATTAACATTCTAAATTATATCTTTATTTAAAATATAAGATTTTAATGCATCGCAGTAAAGAGAATGTGAATTCTAAAATGTTAAATTGCTTCCTGTTAATTTTTATAGTATAAAATTCTAGTGCCTAAAGTTAAATAAAATATACATTTGAACATTCTAAACCATTTATTTCTTTAAAATATATAAAATTTTAATGCGTTACAGTAAAATTCTAGGTCTACCAAGTAATATAAGATTCTAAGGCATAAAAATGAATAAAATGTACATTTTAACATTAATATATATAGCAACGCACAACAAAAGTAGCTTCATACGTTACAATCAAGCGAAGATTCTTCAAAGTCCTTAAATAATTTCAAATGCTCTGAATATTTCTCTCACATCTTCACCATTTTTTACGTTTTTTTTTATATATAACTGATATGATTCTAGCAATGTTTTATATTATTATCAAATAAATTTTATAATAAGTACTATTTTATTAATATGATATTAGTATTAATTTTAATTTTTACTTCAAATTAATTGACGAATAATATTTAACAATGTAAATAAATTTGATTCTCAAAAATATTTTTATATAATTTATTCAAATATCAGAATATTGTCACACACTTAAATAGCATAGAATGTATTGATGTTAATATTTGATGTGTTAATATAATAGTAAATAATTAAATAATTATATAATTATACACATTGAAAGAAAATTAAAAGTTTATATTCGCATCTCAAGCACGTCGAATACATTTATAACTTTCGATTTCTACCGGGATTGTAACGAAACTCACGTCGATACAGTCGGGAAAAATTCGCCGAGTCTTGGAAAGCGCGATTGAGAAATTTCATTTTGTTTACGTACGATAATATTTTCAATTTGCTGAATCGCAGCGAAATGTGCCTGGTGAATAGCGAACTGCCACTCGAGTGAATACGTGTCTACGGGGAATAATACCACTTCGTTCACCGCCTCCTAAAAATCCCGTCAGTCATTTGAATCTGTGAATAAGAGTTGATGAATAAGAGTTATCCTTCGCTGATTGAGATCTTTTTGCACGAAACGTAGATGCGGCACGCTCCAATGCGCCGTTCCATGATTAAATATAAAGGATACCTACAGTGCGTGATTTTCTCTGATTACAGAGCCTCATTATCTTATACTGGAGTACGTCATGTACGGCAAGCTGCTCGCGTACCTGCGCGATCACCGTACTAGGCAGTACTTTTACAACTTCAGCGAGGATTCCGCGGCCTTAACTTCCAGGGATCTCACGGTTTTCGGATACTGCGTGGCCAGAGGCATGGAATATCTTGCATCGAAAAAGGTACGAAGACACTTTCATACGTATACTCACTTTTTAAGATAATACTCCATAAATTTTGAAGTTAATTAGAACTTAATTGATTCTTTATTTTCTCTTAGAGACAAAATTAAAAAAAAAAAC